TATTTATTTATTTATTTACCAAAAATTGTTGTATTTTGTGCACTTTTGCAGCGTGTTTCTATTTGCCTGTGTTTTCTTAAGTTGCTGTCCCTACCCTCACCTCTACACTCGAGCTCTTCCTTCGTCATGCTCCATTGTAACATGTTTGATTTGGCGCAGGATGCCCTGTCTTTCAGTTTCTCGGGACTTGGAGCAAACACTAACAGTTTTTAAATTCTAATTTTTCAATTATATGTAAAAAAAAAAGCCTTAGCCCAAATGGTCTTCCATAGGTTGATCTGTAAACGTTCAGCGCTTCCGCTGATTGGTGGAGTGGCGCATGCGCGGCGCAACCAAAAGAAAGAACAGACTGATGGGAACAGGAAGTCCAAAATGGCGATGGACGGAATGATGTCTACGTCCTCGGGTCTATCTTATCACAATGCCGGGGACTTTTACCCGAGAAAGTTCGGCCCGAAGCCGGACGTGGTGCCGTCCGGGGTGACGGAGAGGAAGGTGGGGCCGCTGGATAAACCGGACATGGTGTCGGTGGATGTCCTCAACATCAAGGATTCAGGTTTGTTATGCTAGCAGGCTAATGGCTAACAACACGTATTCAATCAGCTGCTCCGGAGTTTACCGACTAGTTACCGGCTGAAACGACACTAGCACCGTGGCTAACGGCCGGTTTGAGTCAGTTAGACCTGTCGTCTTTTTTTGGTGAGGGCTGTATCCGGATAATCAGTTCGTAGAAAGCAGTTTAACGTTTAAACGGCGTATTTGCACTCCTCCACCATTCCTGCTTCCTCTCCTTTAATGGAAAAGGGTGAAGCAGGAGTCCTCCACCGGCTCCCGTGTTGCTGCTAAATAATCAGCCTAACGTGACTCTTTTGGTCCTTCTTGGTGGATCCAGCAACAACCAGCACAGCTGTAAAAGCGACAGGCTCACACTCCAGGGTTAGGGCCATCTTTCTGCTGGAGTCAGCAGAACCTGATGGTAACTGCTCCATTTCATCTTATTGTTAAAGAAAGACTCACTAATATCTGCTCGCTACACCTGTGAAGTATGTGTGCAGGTATTTTATAGGAAACTAGTTCCTTTTAGATGGAGAAGCTGGAGGAGACAGTGGATGGAAGAATCTTTTCATGTCCTGCTGTCTCGTGGTTGATGTGAGATCAGCTGAAACATGCTCAGTGTGTTAATATCGGTTTGGACCTCTTATGAATAATCAGATAAATCTTTAAAATTGTCAACCACTTGGATCAAAAACACCCTTTTGCCGAACAATGGAAGGGATCTGATCTGTGGAAAGCCCTGGTTAGATTGCTGACCTGACTGTCTCTTTGCTACAAGATGAAGGATCAGCACCTGCAGCAGGTGGAGAACTGGTTTATGTGCAGCTCTGATGAGTTAACGGAGGTTGCAAAGCAGAAAAATGTGCTGCAGCTTAAAATGTAGTTCTTCTGAGAACTAGTGATGGTGCATGGCATCGAGGACCACATCAGCTGTGACCCAGTCAATCAAAAGCTGGAAACCTGGAAAACCTGAGATGGGACAAACGTTTCTGTCCTATAAGGCTGTAATCACACTTTGAAGTCCTTCTGTAGTTGTGCTGTAACACACTGACTGATTTTTGTCGTCCACAGACGTCCCGATGCACAGGAAGAAGCACGAGCACGACACCTACGTCCTGGTGAGTTTCCTCAGGTTTCACAGTCATAGTTTCTCTCTTATGTCTCCAATGGTCCACGTGGGCTCAAACACAGTCAAACTCCGAGGAGTGGAGGGTTGGCCACAGAGAGAGAGAAATTCTCTCCAGTGTGACACTGGAACAAAGGATTTGTAGAAAGAAGGCAGGCAAAGCTTTAAGGCTTTCATGTGTGATGCAAAACAGTCATTTGTCAGAAAAATGCAGATATTAAATATTTAAATGAACATACTCTTTGGGGTAACGTTTCTGCAGTGTTGTTTTTCTGGGTTTCAGCTGTTTTTAAGCACACGCTTGGGTTTTACAGAGTTATTAGTCGTCATCTGATGACATCGAAAAGCTGAAAACTGTTAGACTCAATTTGGTGTCACCTCAAAACATTTCTGTCTTCTTTAAAATCCGCAGAATTTTAGCTGAAACCCTGGTCTGATCGTTCTCAGTGCCTCTAATGTGAGTGCTGCTTTGGCCAGGCAGTCATCGTGTGCTGCTGTGACACTCTTCCTGCATGAATCTGTCAGCCTGTTTCTGCACATTTCCCTGGAAAATGTCTCCAAGCTTTGGAAAATGTAAAGGAGGGCGTCTGAACTGTGAACTGTATTTTCAGGCGTTTTGCTGCTTTCCTGCTGATAAAGAGCTCATGGCTGATTCATACTGCACCAAAGTGACCGATAAACAATTAAATGTTAGAATTAACATTTTACAGAAAGACATTTTTCCATTTTCTACAGCAAATCTGTGTCTCATGAAGAAAAGCTGAGATGTGTGATTTTTCTTTTATTAACATGTAGCAGGGATTTTAAATGTGTAATTAAACTTGTTTACACTGACAGAAGGCAAAGTTTCACTCGTCCAGCCCATGAAGATCAGAGTGGGCTTCGTGGATCTGACCCAGGATGGAAAACTGAGCCGACTTCACTGTGATTTATTTTCCTTCAGTGTTACAAACTTAGAATAAAGTTGTTCTTGAGGTTATCAGGAAGCTGAAATAAATGTGCTACAACACGCGACCACATGGTGGCGGTGTAGGTCAATGTTTGCCTGCCGCTCTTCTGGACCTGATCGTAGTTTAATTTCACTGACAGCCGGACCGAGGGCTTTTATTTTGCTTCTCATGGCTCTTCCTCGTGTGCTTTGAATTTTCAGGGGACTATTCACCCGTTCAGGAAGACGCACAGATCCATCTTTGGGAAGCTTCTGCAGGAGTTCAGGCTGGTGTCCTCAGACAGACGAGTAAGTGATGAAACATGTCGTGTCCTCTCCGGGCTTTGGTTGTTCGGCCTCCTCTCGTTTTCACTGAGCGGCGATCATCTGAAGGATCCTCACGTTATAATCCCGATAAGCTGGTTAGACGCTGTGTGTCATACGCCGAGCCCAGCCCAAACACCTCCTGTAATCCTGTTTTCCTGAAAGGTCACCGTGTTCCAGCAGGGATGAAACCCTCAGAGGAAAACACCGTCATTCGTGAGCTGATTTCACGTTCTTTAGCTCGTTAAAGGTCCTCGGAGCGCCGGCAGAGCCTCCGCTCATCTGCTTCCTGCTGTCATCTGTTTTGCTGCTGCTTTTTGGTTAAAGTTTAGAATATTCCCTCTGATTGGAAGATTAAACCGAGCAGAATTTAGGATTTTAGTAGCAAACCTTTCCCTTAAACTTTGATGAGTCAACCTGTGACTCTGTGCAGTTTCAAAATCACCAAAATCTGTTCAGAAACCAGCTTTTATTATTTGTTCCACACTAGATGAGCCGTGGCAGGTACAAACAGCCCTGTGGTGAGCTCTGCATGATTAACAGCTCAGAATAATTTTTCTTATGCGGCACCCTCAGTTCATCCAGTGTGAAACAAGCTGCTTTAGCTCCTCCTTCCTCCAAAGACTTTCTTCTGATTGGCTGCTTTTGGAAAAATACGGTTTGAAAAGCAGGTGGGTGGGGCTTCTGCACATGAGTCTCTCTCTCTGACATCATAAAGACCCGTAGATTAAAAAAAAAGACTGAAAGTTGTTTTATATGAGCATGCAGCGCTGGGTGTTTTAATTAACTGCAATGGTAAAAACTCACTGGGAATACCACACACACCTTATCGCAGATCAGGCTTACTTTGAGTGTAAGGTTTCATTTCTATGAACATATAAACACACAGAAGCGAGATTTTTGGCAGTGAAACCTTTGAGTTTGTGTTTGTGCTCCGTCTGAGTGATATTTACTTCAGCTGTGGCTGATGTAGGTGAACAGTCTGTGTGAAAAAGAGGGAGATCCATGTGGACTTCCCAAAGTCTGCATGTATGTGCTGAATTGAGTGAAGAGGTCATCAGATTAAAGGATGTGTGGATATATTATGTGTTTTTAATTTAAAGTCTCCTGTGTCACTCCTACTCGCCCTCGAATGACCAAATCACAGGCTGTAAAAGCAAATGGCACGCACTCACCAGGATCACCCACACCAGGAGGCGGCTAGTCTCTGTGGGTGATCGTCGTCAGCCTGTCACTTCATTTGGTCGATGTCCACGCTCGGTCTGGATCCAGATAATCCTTTAACATCAAACTCCAGGCCTTTAAAACAACCCTCCATCAACCCCGTGAGGTTTCCACCACCTCTGACTTATTAGCGGCGTTTCCAGCAGAGATCGCTGCTCGGTGACCAAATCTGGGCACATTTAACTCTGAAGTTTCCTTTCAGTTCTGCTTGAAACGGGAGGTGCTGTGGAGCTAAAAGAATAAAAGATGAAGTGAATAAACAGTCATTAGAACTCGTGCGGTTTAAAAGCCAGAGAATAAAAAGGGAAAGAAAGACTGAGCAGAAATGGGAACACGCTTTTATCACGCTCAGGTTTGGGTTTCTTTCTCTGGGTCTACCCCGAGGTTTCCTCCCAGCTGGATGTCCTCAGAAAACGTCCAAAGGGAGGCGCTCTGGATGCATCCAAAGCAGACGCCTGAGCAGCCTCAGCTGGCTCGCTTTCAACACGAAGGAGCAACGGATCTATTTTTAACTCCTCCGCTTATCTCTAAGGCCAGGCCGGGCTCGTAGGTGAGCGTTTAGCGTCCGGGCCTGTATCATCATCACGGCCTGAAAACTTGGATCCACGGAAAAGGTGAGGACTTGGCCCGGTATTATTTTAACACACATCAGATCAGTGCTCGGGGTCAACCGATTCCCAAAGCTGCAGTATCGGAGGAGAACGGGGAAAAAGTTGGATCAGTCCATCACAAAATGTGAAAACATCTCCAGCTGTAACAAGCAGAATAATCCCAGTGTATAAAAAAAACAAACAAACAAACAAAAAAAAACGGTGACATGGAATAAATATACTGAGTGTCCTTTGGTTAACTCTCCTTCCTCACTTAACTCTCACTGAAACCCAGCTGTCCTCGCTCAGAGCTCAGATCGTCTGAAAGTTCCTAAATCTGAGCAGCTTGAATTAAATGCTGGTAGGAGCTGTGTAGTGCAAATGTTAGTGCTTCAGACATCGCACACGAGGCTTGTGTTCATGCCTGGTTTTCCTGCTTCTGGCTCCTGCTGCAGCCTCCGGTTCAGCCGCCTGCCGTACGCGTCTCGTCAGCATCTCTCGCCCTTCCTGCAACACGACTTTAAATCCCAGGGAGGGTTCTTCTTTTGTGATTTCCCCCCCGTACACATAAATTAAATATTCAACAACAACATAAAAACAAGGAGCAGAAGCAGAGTTTGTACTGATTCCTGCTTATAAATAAAAATACAATTACAGTGCATTAAAAAATAAGGTAGAGCCAAAACAAAACAGGCACAGATGTGGAGCTAAAAATGTCTCAGAACAGGACAAAAAAAAGCAAAAACACTGAAGGCATGGTAATGAATGTGAAAGGATTAAATGTGTGTGTGTGTGTGTGTGTGTGTGTGTGTTATTGTGCTATAATCCACTTTGGTGATGCACTAGCAGGGGGTCCAGCCTCCCCGTAGAGCCCGGGATTGGATTACGCAGTGTCGTACACGGCTTAGCGACCAAACGCGATTCAAAGCAGCAAAAGTTGAGACGTGCTTCCTTAGCGCCTCGCCTCCAGTCTCCGCTTACATCTCCTGTTTGTGCAATAAAGCTCGTCAACATCTGATTTGAGGTTTTATCAGCACGATGCAGATATTTTTACTGATCGCTGAAATCTGCAGGTTTCATGCCATAAATGCTGACATTAGGTCTGTGAAACGAAGTCGGCGTCAGACTCTCGCTGCCTAAATGTGCCTCAAAATGAACACGCGTCCTGCGCCAGCTGGGGGATGGCCTTTGTTTCCTAATGTCAGCCAAGCGGTCACATAAAGGTGGTTACCAACTGGAAAAGTCAGCACGGGCTCTCCCAGTCTGACTACAAGTTCGTGTGAAAGAGGCACAAACGGCGAGCTGTGTGTGATGATGGAAAAAGAGTAGTATGTAGACCAGGGGTGGACCTCTCCAGGCCTGAAGGGCCGGTGTCCTGCAGGTTTTAGATCTCACCCTGGGTCAACACACCTAAATCAAATGATTAGTTCATTACCAGGCCTCTGGAGAACTTCAAGACATGTTGAGGAGGTCATTTAGCCATTTGAATCAGCTGTGTTGGATCAAGGACACAACTGCGAGTGGCTGCTTTGATGTCTTTTCGGTTGGTGGTGCACCTCTTGGTTGAAGACGCGAGTGTACGATCGTGTCACCTTTGACCAGCGTGTTAATGACACATCCATTCAGAAGCTCACAGATTCAGATTTTTATAGACCGACATGCTGCAGATGTTCAAAAAGATGAAACATTCTGTTAAAAATAAAAACACTTTTTAATGGCTTTGCTTCTAGTTTCGAATCTTCCTTTCATATGTGTGGTGGATCGTCTGAGTGGCGACACCTGTTGCTCAGGAGAATACTGCAGCAGCTACCTGCGGCTTCACGGTCTACAGAAACGGATGTGACTGTGTGATTATGTTACTGTCAGACTTCCAGCTGTATGTTCTGCTCGCAGCCATTTCTTTTAGTTCCTGACATCAGACAAACTGAGCGTTAAAAACGGCCCCATTCAGCGATCAGTGCGGCTCTCCTCCCAGCTGTTACGTTAAAACAAGGATTTACAAGGAGCAGAACTTAAAGGAGTGCTGCCTGAAGGATTTCTAAAACGATGGAGGAAAATCAGCAGCACTGAAGTCAGGCTAGTTCAAATGTAATAGTAGTTGGCCAGAGAGATGGTGCAGTCCTGATCAAAAGTTTAAAACCACTTTAAAAATGACAACAACAAAAAAAAATTTTGGATCTCAACAAGGTTCCAAGTAGAGCTTCAACATGCAACAAGAAGAAATGTGAGTGAGACAGAAACTTTTTTCGAGCAATTTATTGAAAACAACACTTAAATCGAAACAGGTGATCAAAGGTTTAGGACCACGTGTCTTTAAATCGGTGCAAAAATGTGGATTCATTGTCATGTTCTGTCAGGTAGTCCTGATGGCAAAGGTAAACAAACCCTGAACGTGGTCGTGTTGCATAAACAGGGACGCAGTGAGACGGTCATTTGGAATTTCTTAAAGGATCCTGAGGGTTATGGAACAAAAGAATCAAGTGGACGACCCCAAAAAATGTCACCAGCACTAAGCCGGAGGATCTGATTGGCTGTCTTTTGAGACACCGGACGATCCTCGACCCAAACTAAGGCCGTTACTGGTGCCGACTGCAGCCCCATAACCGTCGGACGGCATCTGAGACTGAAGGGCTTCAAAACCAAAAAAAAATTCTTCAGAACTTCGTCAAGACAAACGACATCACGTGGCAGGAAGAAGACACTGAAAATGAACCAAAAGTCAGCTGAGGGGGGTTGGGCCAATCCCAGCTGACACAGGGCGGGACAGGGGCGGGTACACCTGGACAGGTCGCTGGTCCATCACAGGTCTAACAAAGAGAGATGGACAACCAGTCACATTCACACCTACAGACAATTTAGAATCACAAGTTTAGCTGAACGTGCTTGTGTTCAGACCGAATTCAAACCCTGGACTGTCTGTTGCACCGGCGCTAACCACTGGACCACTGTGCCACACAGACCTGCTGGAGAGACTGAGAATGACGCTGATGAGATCCTCCTCCAACACAGGAGGAGACTTTAGACCTGGGAAGAAGAAGTGGAAGCTTCTTGCAGTTCTCCCTCAGCACAGGGTTGGGGAGCTGCATCGACGTTTTGAAAGCAAAACGTCCCGACGAAGCTGAACGGGGACATCGGGAAGGACACGACTGCAGGGCGGCAGGGAGAGGCTGGCAGGCTTCAAACGAGCGGGAAAACTCGTCTGCAGCCGCCGCCGCTTCATTATGTAAGTGGGTTTATTTTGAGAGGAGAACACTGCCACCCTGGAGACAGCGAGGCCTGTCGGCGCGGTCTGAGCGCCACACCGAGGTCATCGGAGGTCACTCCTTGTGTTTTAATTGCCACCTAAAGCGAGCCTCGGTGGGTTTCGCCACACACAAAAAAATATCCCACAATCCCGCTCTGCACAAAGTCTCGAGACTGGTGTGAGTCACACCTCTGCTCGCCACGATGACACACATGTGCCTGGCGCTGCGTGGTGATGCCGTGATGCGCCTGGCATCAGCAGCGACTCGGGATTTTAATACAGTACCTGGCGACTGACCCTCTGTCACTCCAGTGTCACATGTAGCCTCAATATGCTGGCACGCCGTCACGCTGCCGCCGTACGGCCGGGCGAGGCTGCTGACGGACAAACGGGGGCAGCAGAGCGTCGCAATGTGGCCGCTGTGCGCGCTCCCCTGGGCGCTCTGCATACGTGGAGGGAAGCGAAGGTGGGGGGGTGTTTTGGCTCGAGTGCTGTCTCTGTGTTTGCACACACTCTCTGTCTCTCTCACACACACACACACACACACACACACACACACACACACACACACACACACACACACACACACTGAAGGTCTCCCATGCCTGTCGCTGGCTAGTGCTGTCACCAGACGCCCCAACGCTGTCATAACACAGCACACCACAGTAATTGTAGATTTCACAGCACTCGGCGCTCCCCACCACGGCATATGACTCCAACACGAAGTGACAGGCCAGGACACAAACACACAGTCGCTCGCCCGCCTCGCTCCATTTCTCGTTTCTCTCCCCTCTGACACACACAGGCGTGCACGCACACACACAGGCGTGCACGCACACACACAGGCGTGCACGCACACACACAGGCGTGCACGCACACACACGTGCACACGCAGCCTGGACTCAAGGTTTTTTCTCTTCATTGAAAATTCTGCTGATTGCACATCCAGGCTGAGGGAACGGGCTGTACTCACAGTAAAAACACTGAACGTTTACCTGCGGACTCTGTTGGAGTTGTGTCACCTTTGTGTGTTTGCCCATAAAACCCACAGAGATTTAAATGCGCCTTATGTGCTTTTTTAAAAAATGCTTTTTATTAAGGTTAAGATTGAGATCTTTTACTTGTCATTGTAGGAAGACGCAGTTAAATTTCTTTTGTTGACTGTTAACTAAAGGCTGTAAAACAAATTGTAACAACAAAGCTTTATGCAGACAACAGGAATGCGTCTCTTGCCCCTTCTTATTTGTGCGAGCTTCACCCTCACATGCCGTCGAGTTCTCTTATAATAATGATGGATTGCATTTATAGAGTGCTTTTCGAGACCCTCAAAGCGCTTCACAATTCCACTATTTATTCACTCTCACATTCACACACTGGTGGAGGCAGCTACATTGTAGCCACAGCTGCCCTGGGGCAGACTGACAGAAGCCAGGCTGCCATATCGCACCAGCGGCCCCTCTGGCCATCACCAGTAGGGTGAAGTGTCTTGCCCAAGGACACAACGACCGAGGCTGTCCGAGCCGGGGCTCGAACCGGCGACCTTCCGATTACAAGACGAACACCCAACTCTTGAGCCACGATCGCCCCATGATCAGCTTAGTTCAGCTAACCAGGCTTTTGTTTTTGTACAGCACTTTGGTCAGCTGTTCTGTTGTTAAAAGTGAAATCTTCTCAATTCAGTTTTATTTATACAGCGCCAAATCACAACAGTCGCCTCAAGGTGCTTTATACCGTAAGCTAGACCATACAGAGAAAATGTATATAACCACTATGTGCAAGCATTTTGGCGACTGTGGGAAGGAAAAACTCCCTTTTAACAGGAAGAATCCTCCAGCAGAACCAGGCTCAGGGAGGGGCGGGGCCATCTGCTGTGATTGGTTGGGGTAAGAGAAGGAAGACATTGGTTTAATAGCAGGATTTTCTTTGAGTCAAGTTGGATGTTCCCTTAAAAAATCACAAAGGTTTCCTGTTGGGAATAACATCCAGTAATCACTAATGTCGCCTCGTTACTGGTTACCAACACAAACCACACATGAGGACAGAAGCTAACACTGGTGTAGCTTTCTCAGGTAAAGTTGAGCCACCATGACATATGGAGTTCCACAAGGGTCTGCTTTAGGGCCTATTTTATGTCAGATTTTGGCATTTTTCATAGATTCTACTAAAGAAATGGAAACACCTGCTGGTAACAGGTGCTCAGTTGTGTGTAGACATAACACTGATTCATGCTTTGAGTTTGAAGCTATTTCTGCTTGAATGCGTCGTAGGTGGTTTAGCAAACATGAAACTGCGGTGAAAATGATCAAGTACATGGACTGCACTGAAAATGAGTGAAAAAGCAGCCAATGTCCAGAGAACAACTTAAAAATACCTTCAGATAATCTGGAGAACTATTTCTCAAGACCTGTTTAAGAATTACAAGACAGCCTGGCTCCTCGAGGCAAAATGTAAAGAAATGAGGCGTGGCTCAGCGCTGTATACGCTTGGTGTTCTGCTTCGTTTATTTCTCTGTTTGGAATAAGAGGCTCGGCCCTGCAGATGTTCCTGACGGGCAAAGCTGCTCTTTGTCATCACCGAGCCCGTTTCCTGCTCTCGTGCTCTGAATGTGACCTTCCTCTGGGCTCGTGTTTCTGATTCAGACCTCAGCGAGCCTCGTTCACTCAGAGCGTTTACTTAAATCTCACCGAGCTCAGAGCGGCGGGACTGCAGGTGGGAAACTCACCCTCTCCGTCCGAGAGCCAAAACCAGCAGCTCCCAATCCGATTGGAGCTCTGATTGCCTGTTAGAGGAGAGCTGTCTGTGGTGAGTGGTTGAGACGTGATTAAGCCTCAAAAAATGTATTTAAAAAAAACTCTTGTGTCACTCTGAGTTTTGTTTGGTTTACTGAGTGTCAGCTGATCAAAGCCTGACTCTGATCAGCTGACGTTGCTCCTTGCTCGCCGGATGTAAAGATGTCTGAGGAGCGCTGGTGTTCCTGCTCGCTTATGAACCTTTTTGTTATTATTGCATGTTCGAAAAAGATTTGCCTCACGTGTGCAAATAAACTTAAAATGATTGTATCTGTTCTGCTTCATATGGTTAACCACACTGATCCATCCCAGTCGGTAAAAAGCTTCAAAACAGCTTCAAAACATTTCTTCAGCACTATGAGTGAAGTAAAGTCCCTCGTGCCTCTCGTCGATGTGATGCTGATTAAAGGACTGCTTGTTGGTATGACGGGGCCTCAGCGGGGCCTCGACCCGGAGCTTGAGCTGCCGCTCTCTGACGGCTTTCTTGTTTGTTTGTTGTCGTTTGCAGTCGTGGAGGATCCTGCTGTTCGGGGTGCTCAACCTGCTGTGCACCGGCTGTCTGCTGATGTGGTGCAGCTCCACCAACAGCATGGGTGAGCACACACACACACACACACACACACACACACACACACACACACACACACACACACACTCTCTCGGAGTCTCGGATGTTAACCGGCAGAGATACCTGTCGACACACCGTAAACACAGATTGACACACAGACACACACACAAACACAGGCAGGATCGTCTCGCCGCAGGGGGTCAGGCTGATCCCGATGCTGCTGTGTGCGTGTGTCTGAGGCGGCGGCGGCGGGGAGGTCACCTCAGTCAAAATATTGCACTTTAAAGGGCACGTTGAAGAAACAGAGTCCTTCACAGCGTCTGCTTTCGCCCTCCGGTGCTACAACACAGAGAACACATCTGTCATATTGACAGGCGCGCTTTATTTTTTCCTCTCCAAACTCAGCAGCACAGCAGAGCCGTTCCACCTCATAGCTCTGCTCGCTGTATATGAAAGAGACAGGTTTAAATCAGTCTCAGAGCTGTGCAGATGGGAAGGAGACGTCTGCTCTCAGGTTGGTGGATTCATAGATCAGTGGGAATGATGCCGAGGAGAGAAACATTTCCAAAAGCCTGAAATATCGGTTGTCGCAGCTTAAACTCGTGTGAGTGTTACGAGCTCAGGTTTGATTATTTAGTGTTTGTGCTGATGCTCCGTCTGCCTCCAGCCGCAGGGTGAGGCGGCGTGTTTATGGTCAGCGAGGCCTGTGTATGCCCACCAACATTAAATCCTCTCAGGGATCCATCGCTCTGAAAAACGCTGCCATGAAAAGAACAACATGCAACTTTATCCTCTGCTCTGCCTGCAAATACTGCGGCATCAGACACACGCACACACTGAGACACGCACACACACGGGGTGATGGCGTCGGGTGTCGCACAGACAGGAAGCAGAGAACAGAGGTATCGAACAAACAGGGGAAGGCGACACCGCTGTCGATACTCGGCCCCGAGGAGAACAACGGGCGCAGACAGCGGGCCGGTCTCAACGCTGTCAGACAGTCCTCTGCACCGAGGAAGTCTCCTCCGACCTCAGCAGCAAACACAACTTTAACCCAGGTTACGAGGAAGTACGACACGTGCTTGTGTTTATGGATGCACCCTTTGAGAAAAAGACAGCGACGCTCACGCTGTGGCGTCCGGTACATTCGTGTTTGTTGGGCAACGTTTGTGCAGCTCATGATTCCAGTCCAGGCTCCGCCCCTTTTTCTGGCATGTAAAGACACACTCCCTAATTGTATTTAGACTGATACTGCTTACATTTAACTAAAACTGATCTAAACACAGAAACTAAGGCTACGTCCACACGTGCACGGGTATTTTTGAAAACGGAGATTTTCCGTTTTCGTTTTAAAAAATTATCCCGTCCACACGTAAATCTCCACCCTGGCCGGAGTTTTTAGAAGAATTGCTTCTCTGAACTTTTCAGATGGAGCCACTGGAAAATCCTTCCTCCTAAAATCTCTGTTATCTGAGAGAATATGTTCTTCCTCATTCTTTCATCATCATGAGTGCAGGGGAGGGTGGAGCGGGTGGAGATGATGTTGAGCGATGATTTGAGACAGGAAGGTTTAAAGATTTCATATTGTTGTCTTTCATTTTCAGCTCATTGAGCAATTTTGTTTCATTTTTGTCAAACTATTCCGATTTATTTATGTCAATTAGTTATCAGCTGTGTGTGTGTGTGTGTGTGTGTGTGTGTGTGTGTGTGTGTGTGTGT